ACCTGCTATTCCAAAACAGTCACCCATCCAGGTACTGAGCAGGCTTGATGTTGCTTAACTTTGGTGATTGGATGAGAACTGGTGTTTGAATGTGATATGACCATAAACCTAGGCAATTCTTTGACATCCAGTCGGTGGTCCCAGACTTTTGACCTGTAATATACACCAGAAATTCCCAACCTTTTTTGCATCATGGCCCACCTTTCATTTGGAAAAAATTCCCACCTGTATAATAAATATTCAAAAGCATACACTGATGGGTAAATTATGTTTTGGCAGGAACTTTACCAGCCTTGATAAATTCAAGATGGCTAATAGGATAAAAAAGTAAAAACAGTTTAATACTAAATAAAAATTATCTTGAGGCCACGTCTTAATTTAAATTTTAATATCTTGGATCTCACATAACAGATTCTCAAAAAGACTTCAACATCTGCATGTTTATTATTTTTGTTGTAAATTCTCAAGAACAAAGAAAATGTATAAATTCACTTTCATCATATGTTTAGGTTTTATTACAATTCTAATCATCACTTTTTAAAACAATAAACATCGTCGAGGAGTGAAGGTAGTTAAAAAAATAGTGGTGGTGTCAAGGGAAAACCTTTTGAAACACCGTCTTCTTATGGGCATGAAAGCCCATTCTTGCTGAAATTAGGTTACACCAGTTGTGGTTGTAGATAGAGAGGTCTTGTTTTTAGGTTTTTATTTTTGAGTTGCCATATATATTCTTTGATAAGTTAGTGCTGTTTACATATTTTCTGTTGAAAGATGTTTTGTGTGAGTAGCTGCTCTGTTTCCAACAACCTGTAATTTCTCTCTGTATATTTTTGGGGTTTCTTTTGGCACTTTTCATGGCTTTATATATTACACTATTTCGTTGGCAGTTACAATATATTTTGAAATCAGTTCACACCAAGCCAGGTGATAATATCACTAAGATGCAAGAAGTTACTGGCAGTGGAAGAGAATGAGAAGACTTTCATGAAGAGAACAACAAAAGGCCAGGATTCAGGAAGACAGGTGATGGCAATTGACGTTGCATTTAAATTTTGAAGATTGTAGGTTGCAGTGAAGCAAGAAATTGGAAGAGAGTTTCATAGGCAAGAAGTGTGTGGAAAGAAACCATTAGAATTGAACTAGCAACAGCTTTGTGCAGATTAATTTGAAACAACTGCTGAGGAGTGAAGGTAGTTAAAATAATAGTGGTGGTGTCAAGGGAAAAACTGTCCTTTTGACACTCTGTCTTATTGCAGACATGAAGGTCCATGTTTGCCACAAATTTTAACCAAGACTAGTACAGGCTGCTCAGTCAATGAATTTGAAATGTTTCCTTAGAAGGAAACAGGTAATATTAACATACCAAAAAGTCTACAAAAGAATTCTTTTATTCTATACTTTTTATTATCCTGTAGCTATACAAGCGTACGTACACTGTAAGAAACATTTTCATTGCATTAAATGAATTTTAAATAAAAATGTTGCAATTTTTAAAATGAGGAATTATGATATGCTTTGCTAATCAAACTAGTAAAATCATCTTGGTTGTTAATGCTCATAATGTTTCCGACATTTTACTTTCTGGCATCCTTCAGGTGTCTCAGATTATGTAAATAAGCAATCTAATAAATAAATAGTGTTTATTTATTTATTTTTTGTAAATTCTCAACAAGAAAGAAAATGTATAAATTCACTTTCATATGTCTAGGTTTTATTACAATTCTAATCATCACTTTTTAAAACAATAAACATTGCCGAGGAGTAAAGGTAATTAAAATAATAGTGGTGGTGTCAAGGGAAAAACTGTTCTTTTGATACACTGTCTTATTGCAGACATGAAGGGTCCATGTTTGCCAAAACTTTTAACCAAGATTACTACTGGCTGCACAGTCAATGAATTCGAAATGTTTCCTTAGAAGGAAACAGGTAATATTAACATACCAAAAACAGTCTACAAAAGAATTCTTTTATTCTATACTTCTTATTATCCTGTAGCTATACAAGCATAAGTACACTGTAAAAAACGTTTTTATTGCAATAAAAGAATTTTAAATAAAAATGTTGCAATTTTTAAAATGAGGAATTATGATATGCTTTGCTAATCAAACTAGTAAAATCATCTTGGTTGTTAATGCTCATAATGTTTTAGTTTCTTTGCTTTCACCATACAGTCAGTTTTTGACTCACTGGAGTGACCGGGTGTAATTGATTTCTATTTTTTTCTCAGATTAGGTCATTTGCAGTGGTGTGCAGTAATATGAATCTATTTTCAGAGTGTATGATGAAATTTCTTTGGCCTTGAAAAATATTGCATCATCTGCGATTGCAGCAGATTTTTATCACGCCCAGACACTATTGTCTCAATTTCCAATTAGTTGTCCTACGGCCATTGTCTGTGATGGACATTATTCCAAGGAAGCATGCAAAAATTGTAACACTGCACAAATACAATGGCAAGCATTACCAATGAGCAAATCAAAGTACTATTGACTGGCTCAGAAACTCTCCTGATTTAAATCCAATCAACAATCTGTGGTCAATCTGCAAGGAACGACTACATGGAATGAAAATATGAAGTACTAACATATGCACTGGGTCATATTTCATTTGAAAAATATGTAAAAAGTAAATAATAACAGAATTATTCATATTGTTTCAATTAATTTGTACAAGGGTGTGTGTGTATATATATATATATATTATGAAATGGACAAAGTCTGACAATTATTTTAAGACATTTTTTACGTTTATACATTCTTTTTATAGATGCAAATATTTAAGTAAATGCTCTGTTTATAATAAACAGTATTAAACAACATTTACCAGCCTGAATGTCTGAGAAATTTTCATAGAAAATATACATCCTCTGACAGGAATCGAACCTGTATCCTATATGGAACCATCATATAGCCTGACGTGCTTTACTGATTGAGCCACAGAGGAGTGTTTCGATTTGCAAGGTTGATTTTACTGTTTTTAAACTACAATTCTCCATGATTTTCTCTTGTACATTCATATCTGCTCGATGCGTATCCAAATGTAAAAAATGATGTCACACATTATGATGTTGATTGTATTAAAATTATTCAACTTTTTAACAAGAAAAATGTTAAGTTGACGTTTAAAATTATATACAAAAACATTGTTGATTTGTTTAAGATGGAATCATCTATTATGACATGTCTCTAATTTGTATTTAGATACATTGTATTTATTTTCAATTTTTCTAGTTGAATTGTTCATCTATATTGCATATGATTCATTATTGTACATAATTAGATTACAATAAAATTTGTATTTTATATCAAGTTGCTACAGAAGGATGCTAAGGATACCATGGACGGATCGTATGAATAAGGATGAGGTTTTGGAGTTAATGTAAGCAAAGAGGAAACTTATACTCAACATCAGGAAGGGGTAGTTGAAATTTCTGTGACACGTTATGAGAAAGGAGGGCTTAGAAAATCTGATACTCACACGGCGAATAGAGGGAAAGAGGGACAAGGGAGAGCAATGCATGACATATTTATTAAGCAAGTAAAAGGCAGAACAGGTTCTGGGAGAAGTAGCAAAAAGACAAAAGTCGTTGAGAGCTACAACGGATAGGAGGAAGTGGAGAGCCATGACCGCCTACCTCCTGAAGGGACACGGCACAAAATAGAAAGGCCTTATAAAAATTGAGATCTAGTATATAGGGGTGGGGTTGTTTCATAGATTTGACGGGTGAAGCACGAGACCCTTGTACTGGCTCTGGACAGTAACAAAGTTGCTTCTTTCTTTTGAAAATGTGGAAAATGGTATTGATTGTTTCTTCAACAAAGTGTTTTGATAAATTTTACCAAAATACTAAAAAGAATTTAATTAATTTATAAACAAAAAAAAAGTTTTAAATATGTCATGATTTGTCTAATTTAATATTTTTTCTCAGACTTCTCTTGTAACAATTTTAACGGTCATCATGAACAATATACCCCAGTTTCAAAGTCACCCTTTGACACTGATTAGTGTCAATAAGGCATATATAGATATATATGAAAAAAAAATATTTTTTAATATATATTTGCGTTTGGAATTTTCGTATTTTATTAGTTGGTGTTATTTTTATACGTATATATCTATTTTAATGTCCTTTCTTTACCTATTGTTTGTTTCTCTGTTCTTTAGACCATTTTTATCCATGTATATTTGCCCATATAAGTTATATTTTAATAAGTGGTTAGAATTCGTTTAATAACGCTTTCAATCTTGAATATTTCTTCTTAGTTGTAGTATCGGACTGTCTAGGTCAATGTATGTGGGTGTATGTACATGTCTTTATCGGTAACAATGTGTAACTTGCATGCACATTTTTTATGTGTGTGTTCTGGGTTTTGTTTTTTTTTGTTTGTTTTTTGTAAAGGGTCAAGGAGATGCTTCCTGTCTCGTCATTTTTGTGTGTGTGTGTGTGTATATCTAAATATGTCTGCGTGCTTATGTATTATAATCTGATTGTGTATGTATTATCTTTCACAAGATGTCATCATCCTCTGCCTACACTTAGAATTCAAATGTATCTATGTTGTCATGAAGTTAAGAGCAGTCGATCTTAACGTCTATTCCAACGTAATTTCAATAAAAACAAAATAAAGAGAATAACATATGTATTTTTTTCTTTTTTCCTCGGTAACTTTATAATTTTAAACTTAATAGAGATTAAATTTAGATTTTAAAATGGGTAATTTTTTTATTTTTAATTTTAATATTAAATTTTATCATATAATAATTTTATAACCCCAACTTTAAATTTTTCATTTAATAGTTATTAATTATAACCTTACTACTCCGTTGTCAAGTTTTTTTAATTCTCGTATACTTGTATTTTGATTCATCATTCCAGCTTATGTAACAGCGTTTCCCCTTGCGAGGGGGGGGGGTTAATTAATTTGAACCCTTTATTCTACATTCAACATATCAGTTGATAAGACATTAGAGGTGTTGAAACAAAATGGCTATTTTTTTAGTGATTTTATATAATTTATGTTATATTTTTTAAATAATTATATTTACTCTTCTGTATTAAGCACTCGTTTAAGAATAGTAATGCTTTGGTTATTGGAATTTATTCC